TCTCCTCCTCCTCCTCCTCTTCTTCCTCCACTTGTAGCTGCTGGATGACCTTGGGCGAGCCATAGTTCTGAAAAGAGCTGTCCTTGAAAAAAGCAGTTTCTGTCAGAGCCTACCTCAAAGGGTGTCTGTTGTGGGGAGGGGAAGGGAAAGGGAAAGGAGTTTGTAAGATGCTCTGAGATTCCTTCGGGTAGTGAAGGGCGGGGTAGGAATCCAGTCTCTTCTTCTTCTTCTTCATTTGCTGCCCAGGAAATAACAGTTGCCAGCCTCCAGGAAGGGATTGGAGAGACCCCGAAATTGCAATCTATCTCCAGCCGCTATGGAAGGTGGACTCTCTGATATCACTTCCCGGCCAAGCGCCCTCCCCTTTGCAGGCGGGACTTCAGCAGGGGACAGTGTTATTTATGAAGAAGAAGAGGAGGAGGAGGAGATTGGATTTATGCCCCGCCCTTCACTCGGAGTCTCAGAGCAGCTTACAAACCCCTTCCCCTCCCCACAACAGGCACCCTATGAGGCAGGTGGGGCTGAGAGAGCTCTGACAGAAACTGCTCTTTCAAGGACAGCTCTGACGGAACTGTGGCTTGCCCAAGGTCATCGCGCAATGAGCAAATACCGTGCTACAGACAATTATAAAATATCCAACAGAGCACCTGCTTTTCACTTTGGAGGAAGCTTTGAGCTCACTAAGAGAGACTTTTTGCAGCGTTCATTGAAACATTTGGATAGATATTTTGGTATTTGGCAACCTCGTGCTTGGAAAGATCTGTCGAACTCCCCGAGGAAGACACTGAAACAGGAGGAGATCCGGACTTCTGTTGCAGGAAGGCAGAGCACTCATTCAAAACAAACTTAAAAGAGCCCTCCCTCTTGAAACTTTTGTATAATTAAGGAGGACTGATATTAATAAAGGGGTTGTGCAGTATCTTTTGATATATATAAGAGACGATACTTAGATGTTTCGTATTAAGGCTTATATGATAACTAATATATGGTGAATAAATTGTAAAAATAGAATACAAAAAATATAAAAATTATTTGAGATATTTTATAATTGTCTGTAGCATGGCATTTGCTGATTGCTGGATGACCTTCGGCAAGCCGCAGTTCCGTCAGAGCTGTTCTTGAAAGAGCAGTTCTGGAAAGAGCTCTCTCTCGGCCCCACCTACCTCACAGGATGTCTGTTGTGGGGAGGGGAAGGGAAGCTGCTCTGAGACTCTGAGTGAAGGGCAGGGTAGAAATCCAATCTCCTCCTCTTCTCTTCTTATGGGATCCCAAATCAGCTCAGCTGAAGAAAAGAAGCAGGCAACACAGAAAGGCATTACTATACTGTCTTATTTTCAGACCCTTTCCTAGCACAATGAAGGTGCTACTGGGCTTTTTACGATTTCCCAGCACAGAGTTTGCTCTGTTCCGCCAGTGCTGCTCACATCGGCAGCACATTCACCGAGCTGTCCACTACGACCCCAAGATCTCCTTCCCGGTCCGTAATGGCCGAATCAGGCCCCATCAGCCACTGCGTCAAGTTGGGAAGGATCCGAGGGGAGGGGCTGCGGCTCAGTGTCCCTTCTTAATCCCCCCCCTACTGAGTGGGGCACTCCACACCCTGAGCAGAAGGTAAGTGCTGTGATTTTAAAACGCCCAATGGGCACGCTGCTGCTGAGCGGGACGTCTGTGTTAATGAACGGCCATTCACATGGATGGCTTAGAGGGAACACTGGCTGGGGCTCAGTGGCAGAGCCTCTGCTTGGCATGCAGAAGGTCCCAGGTTCAATCCCCGGCATCTCCAGTTAAAAAGGACTAGGCAGGAGGTGATGGGAAAGACCTCAGCCTGAGACCCTGGAGCGCTGTAAAGAGGGACTGTGGCTCAGTGGCAGAGCGTCTGCTTGGCATGCAGAAGGTCCCAGGTTCAATCCCCGGCATCTCCAGTTAAAAAGGACCAGGCTGGAGGTGATGGGAAAGACCTCCGCCTGAGCCCCTGGAGAGCTGTAAAGAGGGGCTGTGGCTCAGTGGCAGAGCATCTGCTTGGCATGCAGGAGGTCCCAGGATCAGTCCCCAGCATCTCCACTTAAAAAGGACCAGGCATGAGGTGATGGGAAAGACCTCTGCCTGAGACCCTGGAGAGCTGTCAAGAGGGCCTGTGGCTCAGTGGCAGAGCATCTGCCTGGCATGCAGGAGGTCCCAGGTTCAATCCCCGACATCTCCAGTTAAAAGGACCAGGCAGGAGGGGATGGGAAAGACCTCTGCCTGAGACCCTGGAGAGCTGTAAAGAGGGGCTGTGGCTCAGTGGAAGAGCTTCTGCTTGGCATGCAGAAGGTTTCAGGTTCAACGGAACGACCACCTCCCGTGATCGGGACACAATGCTTCTGTGAATGCACCCTAAGATTGCATTAGCTTTCTTTGCAGGCACATCACACTGCAGGCTCACGTTTAGCTTGTGATCAACCAGAACACCCAGATCCCTTTCACATGTGCCGCTGTCAAGCCAAGTCCCTCCCATTCTATGTCTGTGCCTGGCAGATTGGAGGTGGGGTGCTCCCCCTTAGCTGTGGAGTCTTGTGAGCAAAAAATTCCACTTTGTGAGCTCCTGGCATTAAAGTTGTGAGCGAGCGATTGGGCTGCTGCATAAATCAGCTTGCTTCGGAGCCCTCCTCCCTGAGCTGACATAAAAAGGTGTGAGCCGGAGGCTAAAAAACTGTGAGCTGGCTCACACTAACTCAGCTTAGAAGGAACACTGGTGGACTCTCTCTCTCTGTGCCACCCCATCCCTGCTGAGCCCCCTCGCCTCCCCAAGCTCTACCCTCCAGGGGTACAACTCTTGAGTTCTTGGTGGCAGCCCCTGCTCTGTGGCTGTGCAACGTGGGAACGGCTCTCAGAAGAAGGCAGATTATCTGGTTAGACCCTCAGGGAGAGCAGAGGGTGGGTGTTGGGAGTACGGGGAGAAGGTGGGAGTGGCCGGGCAGACTGTGTTTCTCCCAGCCTCTTCTCCCATGCTGGGTTGCCAACTCCCAACTGTGGGAAAATATGTGATGCTGTGCATAAGATGATAGAACTTGAGAGAGACATTCTCCTAGATAAGTTATTATGTTTGCTGCAAGGGTTCCGATGGGACCCTGGAAAAATGCAAAATGCTGCTGTTTTTAAGAGTCTTATCCTCACAAAAAGAATTTATTGCACCTTATGTCTTGTATGTATATCACTGTCCTTGAAAAAGATTGTATTCAATACGGGTAAATCACTAGAGTCCCCTAGGACTAGTGATTGTGAAACTGAAAAGGTGCTGCTTGAATGTTTGAACACAGTGTAAACCTGCACTCTGATGTACTGCTTTGGTGAAACCTATGTTTGGTAATACTTGACACCAATATTTATATAATTGTATAGAAAAAAATTAAAAAATTAAAATAAAAAGCACAAAACAGATCTACCTCATGCATACATCTGTTATACACAGTGTAATATATTTTTCCATATCTTCCTAACACCGTGACCCTCAGTTCTTGTACTAACTCCCAAATGTGGGTTGGAGATCTCCTGGGGTTACAACTGACCAACAGATTAGAGATCCGCTCCCCTGGATTGAGTGGCATCTATGGCGTTATATTCCACTGTGGTCGTCTCTCCCCTCCCAAAGCTCCAGGAATTTCCCAGCATGGAGTTGGCAACCCTCCTCTCCTGGCCATCACACCGTAAGCTTTCAGATTTACAAAGCAAAAGACAGCAGTCCCTTTACATTTCATGCTGGTACGGTCAATACATAAAGGGCAGCAACTTAGAGCCGGCCTTTAAAGGAGAGGCAGTGTGGAGTAATGGTTAAACTGAAGTGTTGGACTAGTAGCTGGAAGACCCCGGCTCAAACGCAAGCTGCCCTCTACCTGCACCCCAGTTGGGAGAACTGTCAACAAGCTGCCATTAGGTGATGTGCTCCTATGTGTATATACCCGTTCTCTGTCCATCCCCCACTGGCTCTTCCTCAGTAGCTGTTTATTGTCTTCTCTTGCTACAACGGCGTAACTGCTCAAGGTCGAACAGCTGGTGGTAGGGAGGTGTTATGGCATAGCTTCGCTTATCAGGTATCTTCTGCCTGAGAACTAAACTTCTGTTTATGAATTAGAACCGTTGCATTCCCAGGGATTTTGGCGCTTGATTCCTCTTCCATCCCGCCAGCGGGAAATTGGCTCATTGGTTCTAGCCAGGTTCAAGTTCCTTTATTATGTGTGCCTATGAGTCTTGTAGTCATTACTAACAATGCTTTTGTTCCTGATATAACCACTGCTTTTAAATAAATTCTACTTTGTTCATAGACCGTGGATTTATTCTGAATGCTTGGGGAATCGGACAAGAACGAGCTGTAAGAGTGTGTGTGTGTGTGGGGGGGGAAGTTGGAATAATGAACCCCATGGAGAATTTCAGCTCCTGAAAAGTCCATTGGCTAACAGCTGTGTCAATCGGTAGGGGGATGATAGATTTCGGTGGGGTGGCCGTGTTGGTCTGAAGCGACGGAACAAAGTTTTGAGTCCAGGGGCACCTTTAAGACCAACAAAGTTCAATTCTGGGTATCGGCTTTCGTGTGCGTGCAAACTTCCTCAGATACCACACATGCTCACGAAAGCTTATACCCAGAATTCAATTTTGTTTAATGGGGAAAAAAACCCGGAATAAAAAGAAGGTTGAACTGAACTTTAGTGCAAAATGGGGGGGACCCCGGATTAAAAAGAAGGTTGAATTCGATTTTAGTGCAGAATTACTTGGAGGACGCCACGATGAACATGGACTGAAACAAGAGAGAGAGAAACCATTTTGCAACCAAGACCTTCTCCCTCTGCATAATTATGCAATGCATACATCTACTCAGTTTTGCATAATTTATTCTGGCTTCACGGTTCCGGCTTTTGGCTCTCCTCGGGCCTTCTCTCCACATAGAAGGAAGCAGTTTCCACGTTCTTCTCAGTCACCAGGACAAGAATCACGTATTGTAAAAGAAATCCCCCCCCCCGGACTCCATCTTCCACCCCCGCAGATGTGGCGCGGCCTTCCCTCGCCAGAAGGAGGGCGCGTGCTCTTTAGCGATAACAGGATGGCTCTCCGGGGCCAACGCAGTCCAACCCCCGCTCAGAGGGCGCCGTGGATGATGCGCGGGCAGGCCTCGGGCAGGATACAGTGAGCTTCGTGCTCCACCAGCCCTGCAGGGCACTGGCAGCCAGGCACGCAGGGCTTGAAGCAGTGGGACTCCAGGACCCCCAGGGGCACGGCGTGGTTGAAGCAGGTCTTGGGGCAGGGCGGTCCACATTCGTCAAACACATAGCCCCTGTCCTGGGGGCAGCCCACGGCTGAGGGGGGAGAGAGAGAGAGAAGGACACAGAGTGAGGGAGGAGAGCCAGAGAGGCTGGGGAACACGGGGCCCTGCCTATGTATCCTGCTGGTAATCTGTGAATGGACCTCCGGGGCTGTGCGCCCCCCCCCCACTATATAACCCACTTTCAATCCACGTTCAGCGCACTCTCCAGCTGGATTTTTACTGTGCCAACTGGCAAGATCCAGTTGGGAAGTAGATTGAAAGTGGAATGAAAGTGGATGATTTTAGCAGCACTTTTAAGACCAACCAGGGCTATTTTTGGGGCAGG